TCCAAATGTTTCTTAAGCTGTCCTCATTTTTAATTTTTTTTCTTTTTGCTCTTCTGCCTGGGTGCTTTTTTCTACCTTGCCTTACTAATCACTGATTTGATCATCTGCTTCATGTAACCTACTGTTTATTCCTTCCAGAATATTATTTTAGATATTGCATTCTTTATTTCTGACTGGTCCTTTTTTAATGATTTCTATATCTTTCTTCATGCTTTTGAGTATCCTTATAATCATTATTCTAAACTCTCTGTCTGATAAATTGCTTGCTTCCATTTCATCTAGTTCTTTTGGATAATTCTCTTGTTCTTTCATTTGGGATGAGTTTCTTTGTCTTCCCATTTTGGTTGCTTCTTTGTATTTTCTGCCTTAGTTGTTAAACTAATCAGCCATTGGACTGATCACCTGTAAATATAATCAAGCAGTAATCTGCAGCCTGGCTTAGGCACCACAGCCTGGGGCAGAGCAATTCTTGGAGGCAGAGCTCTTGCTTTCCCTCAAGCTGATGACACCTGGAAGAGAGTGCTCTTTCTGAGAAAGATGGCTTCTGCCGTATGGGGAATGACTCAGCCCAGGGATCCTGGTGGATGTTCCTTCAGTTCTCTTCCAAGAGCCACCAACCCCAGACTCTCCTCAAGTGAGTCTAGTCCACTCTACCCTCCCTCTGCCAGAGAGTCCAGGGTAAGTGGCTACAAACAAAATTTTGTGTTTTGGCCCTTTAAAAGGCTTCCTATATCTCCAGCTGTCTTTCCCTGGCAGACAGAATTCCTGCTGCTTTTCACAACTGGATGTTATCTGGGTTCCCTTCTGGTTCTGGAGCTGCAGGCTAGGGACCTTAGCTTGTCGTTTAGACCCCACACTTCTCAGGAAAACCCCCTGGCTGCTAAAATATCCCTACAGATCTTCCCATGGGAGCTCAGCCAGCCCTCTTGCATCTCTGCACTCCCTACCAGTCCCATTGTGGTAAAGTGGTTTCTTCTGTCTGTCCTTGGTTATAAGGCTTCTCTCCAGCTAGTGTTCAGTTGGTTGTTCAGGATGCTTTCTCTGCAACTCAGTTGTAATTCCAGATTGGTCCTGGGAAGAGGTTAGGGTAACTTCTACTTACTCCTCTGCTATCTTGGATCTCTCCACTGCTTCTTTTCATTTTCAGCCTCTCCCTTCACTGATTCTGTTTTACAATCACCATAGATTGATCATCCTGTTTCTTTTGGTTTGGGATCACTTTTTTCTCCAGGCATTTCCTTTAAGTCTACTGTTACATTTATTTGATATTCATAACTTGCCTAATTATAGATGTCGGAATGTAATTTTCAAATCTTCAAAAACATGACATATAAATATGGAATGGATGTAAGTCAAAAGTTTTGTTCAAATCATTAATTAATGAGGGAACCACTTAAGTGGTAAAACTAAGTAATAGCAAAGTAATTTTTTTTAAAACAGGAATATTAGAATGAGGTCTCTAAATTAAATACAGAACTGTTTAATATCTTACAGGGTAATGAAATCATAACTTTTGGTGGTCTTTTCTATTGGATAGTAATCTACAAGTTAATAGATAACATGGTAATTTCACTGTGTTTGGGCTCAAATCCAATATTAAATAGCAAAATCAAACTCAAGTAAATTATCCTAGAGACTTAATAATCCTTGAGTGAACTTATTAAATAATGCTTCATTATAACATTGAATAAACATGCTATCCTCATTTCTGACTTCCAAGTCTTGAATTTTTAACAATATAATTGACTGTTATAAATACTCGACTGACTCAAATGGATAGGATTAGTTTAGTAAGTTCTTTAGTGCCTCCTCCAGATTTGTGCATGAAGAGAGCCTGTACAACATAGTAGAATACTCTATATAAACTTTCCCTGTTTAAAAATATTATTATTCTCTAAGACTGGAATTGAGAAGGGCAAAATATCATGGTTCTTTAACTAGTGTGTGGAGTTAGGCAATGGGGCCCCCTAATGGTCTTCAATGAATTTTTGGCACTCTAGCCTTCTAATTATCCCAGAGTGTCTGGGGAACTTCTCCTCACAAGAGGTGTGGGAATACTTCCTATAGGACCCTTGATTTAATTGGTCTATGTATATAGTGTCACAACAATGCTGCATAACAAACAATTATAAAACTTAAGCGCCATACAATAATTTATTTTTGCTCTCAACTCTACAAGTGAATTAGAAAGTTCTGTTGATCTTGGTTAGGCTTGGCTGGGCAGTTCATTGTCTCTTAGCTAGGACAAACTCTCATATCTAGTAGTCAGCTAGCTGTTGGCTTCAGGGCAGCCTCACTAAGATAACCAATTCTTCTCTAAAAGATTTCTCTACTAGCCGAGCCTAAGTTTGCTCCAATATTGTTGGCAGCATTCTGAGAGTGGAAGCGAGCAAGGACTCATAAGGCTAAGACTTGGAAATGGCACACAGTCAGTTCCACCACATAGTGTTGGCCAAAGAAAGTCATAAGGAAACCTATAGGGAAATAGATTTCATTTCTTGAAGGGAAAGGATGGGAAACTCATATTAAAAGGGTTATAGATGGAGAGAGGGAGGGTGAATTGGTGCCATTTTTATTCAACTTTTGAGATTCATTAGGCTGGACCAGATCAACTTTACTGAGCAAAGCCCTTCTGAATACTCTGCCACATGCTATATGAATGTTGAGATTTTCCATTTTGCCTTGTGGAAACATGCACTATTCCTGGCTTTGTGTACACCAAGTACTGCTTCTCATCCTTTCAGGTCATTCTTTGTGAAGTCTTTGGAAGTTACCCCACACTTAATATCTGATCTGTGCTTAGCAAAATACTTAGTGGGGACTCTTCAAATTTTTGGAGCTCTCTTTTTCAGCATATACTTCTCTCTTCTTTTTCCTGTGAACTCTAACCACCTTGATATCCCTAGATTTTCAGCTGCATCTCCTCATTTCAGGAATCTTCAGTGATTCTGGTACTATCTTGTCTAATGTCCAGTATTTTCAAAAAACAAGGTTTTTATTTTCACCTATTTAGCCTGGTTTTGTCAGTCATTTCATGCAAGAGAGTAAATACAGTCCCTGTTGCTACATTTTGGCCAGAAATGGAAGTCTCCAGTTCTTAGAATTTATTCTTATGAAAAAGATGGATTTCTAAAGACTCTGGATGACCTAACTTTTGGTTGGAAAAAAGCAGTATGCAAATATCTGATTATAGTTGAAAATATGTATTTCTCTCTTGCTTGTGCAATTGGTCCTTTATTACTTTCTTCCCTTCTCAGTATATTTGTTATATTTTCATTATATTATGTGTGTAGGTAATCATTTTATCTTACCAATGATAGTGTAAGATTTTTTTTTTAGATATTGTGAATATACCTTATAGTTCTTTATATTCTTCACCATGTGTATTGCATTTTAGAGTTAATGGCAATCAATTAATGATTCTCCTTTTCTGTGAAAAGGGACTCCAGTCCTGAGGAATAATTAAGTGATGTTTACAGGTGCTTTGTAAAAGACACATGTAAAAGAGTAAGAGTCAGGGTAAATAATGATAATTCAACTTTGAGGTTGATGTCAATTTTGGTTTAAATTGTCTCCACTAAAATTAGGTGCCATACATTAGACTATAATCTCTTATGAGTTCAAATGCCACCTACTTAGAAGAATACTCTAGGCTCACAGGAAGAACACTTTCTATACTTCTCAGATCCTGTTAGGGCTCATTTTTGTGAGGCTTATTTTCTTTCTCAGAAAACTTGAAGTTATAATTTACAAATATATGATGTATGGATTGAACACTTTCAATCTGCTTGATGAGTGTGGTATTGAGAAAAGATTATGTAGAGTAAGTATTTCTCTGTAAAGTGAACTCTCAATTGTATTAATATTATCTGTGAACTTTCTTGTAGGTTGACTTCTTATAATCATACACTTGTGAGCTGCTCTTCTCCCTCCCTCTCTCCTCTACTTCTCCATCTCCTCACCAGTCATTTATTTCATAAAATGATAGGCAGAGAGGACATGGAGAGTAATTACTACACACTTTTAATATAGCTTAGAATAAACATAATGACAAAGCAAAAGTTTTTGCAAAAAATCTAACTATTATCTAAGGACAGACGTGATTATTTGGGGAATCATTTGAGCAATTGCTTTCTTTCTTTAGTATGGACAATCTATGGCCATACAATTATTTATTGCGCTTGTCAAAATACAAGAATTAATTTTAATGTTTTTCAGGCATTTGCTTTTAATATAGTCTTGTTCTACAAATAATATAATTTGATGGAAAATACTGAATTCTGTGTTGATTTAAACATTTTTATGGGTAAACAATTTGAACTCAGATATTCATGCAATGATATAGTGATGCTTTTTATATGTCTAGGACATTTTATTTAAAAACTATTTTGTTTGTTTTTTCATTATTTTGGTAAAAATCTAAAATGCATTAAGATTTCTAAATTTATAATAATGTGTATAATTACCTATATAAGATTATGAAAGTAAATTCCAGGGACCTGGAAATGAAAGCTTTTGGATTTTTAAGGAATGTCATACACATATGGATGGTTATTATTATTGTTAATCCATGCACAAGAATAGGTAAGGTTCTTCCGGTTTATAAAGGAAATGCATACAAAGCTCACTGAAATGTATACAACATATCACAGAATATTACTTAACGATAAAACTGAACTGTACTGCTATCATCATGAACCTTTAAAATAAAGTCAAGTATAACTGTAGTTCATACTTTTAAAAACCTAATTTTCTTTTTATAGATTTAAATTCTAATTATAAGAATGGACAGCATTTTGAAATAAAAAAATTTTTGATTCAGCATTTCAAATACATACACATTCTCTTTGGTAAGCTTTTACATCAAGATCAATGATTATAACATATTAATAAATGTTTATTTTATGGACACAACTCATTTTAATTATTTGATGCATTTTAATTTTGTATATATTTACATAAAATGACATACCAATGCAATTTTTATTATATCTTTTCAGAACACAAATGCCAATCTGAACATGAGGAAAAGGACAAATGCCTTGGTTCACTCTGAGTCTGACATTGGCATCAAAACCGAGGTAGGAAACCATTCAAACAGACCTTCCGTGGTTGTTCAAGGATCTTCTGAAGCCACATCGCAGTCTTACTTAGCTTCCAGTCCAAACCCGTTCAGTCATGCAAATGCAGCTGAAACTATATCTGCTGCAAGAGCACTTCCATCTGCTTCTTTTTCTACTCCACGTAGAACTGGGTATGTGCCCCGGCAAGCTTCAGCGGGATCTGCTTTTACCCATCATGTGTTCGGATCAAGACTGGAGCGAATTAAGACCACAGTTAATACCATAGGCGCTTCTGGGAAGTCGTCAGCCGCCACTCCTCCCCCTGCCCCACCACCTTCTGGATCTGGCACAAGTAAAATAGACAAATATGCTCGCATCCTCTTTCCAGTAACATTCGGGGCATTTAACATGGTCTATTGGGTTGTTTATTTATCTAAGGACACTATGGAGAAATCAGAAAGCCTAATGTAATTCTTTTTTGCTATAGTAGTTTCCTAAAATATGATGAACTTAATGCAGAATGTCTTTTTAAATGTTTTTAAAGATAAATAATTATTCTTTACTAAAATAAAAATGCTATGTAATTTTTCCATTTAAAAAATTCAAGCCAGTTATTGGGAGAGTTAATTAATTCCTCAGTGAAGAGAAAATGAGCCAATTTTCATTTCAGAAAATGATTTAAATAGAATCAATTCAGCATTCAAATTAGACAGAATACAGACCATCTTGGAAAGTTGGGGCAAGAGAAATAGGTCTATTGGAAATATGTGGTGCATATTTATGCGTTGAAATTTGAAAACAAACTATGACATTTTAGAATATATACTATGAATATCAACCAACCACCCTAAATTTCCCAGTGGCACTGCTCTTAATCAGAATTATTTAATGGATATTATATCCGGTGACCTTTGGAGATCCTCTTACCTAGTGTCTGCAAGAAAAGGACTTTTCCTGTTAAATGAAACATTTTTAAAAGGAAAATGGAACAAAGCAAATGCTGACCAATGGAGTGAAACTTCTGCTTCATCAGAAAGAAATAAAGAAACCAGGGAGAGTATGTTCCCTGTCTTATGTTGGCCAAACAGGACTTAACAGTTGACTTGAAAATTTGTGCTTTGAGCCAAAGTTTAACTCATTGTATGAATTATTTTGATAGAAGTCCATTCAGTTATTTGTTCATTCAACATATGTTTATTCAGAGCCTACTGTGTGCCAGGCACTATGCTAGACATTGTCTCTCTAGGAAAGCTCCTTCAGCATTACCTACAATATTACTGAAATAGAACAGTCAATGCATGCTAACAAACCATTAACTAGCAGAAGCCACTGCATTCTTTAATGGAGGAAAATTATTTAGAGTCTGTAAACATATTCAAATATTTGTCTCTTATACAGGTATAGATAACAGGTATATTTTTCACATAGCCACTTCTGAGATAAGTCCACATTAGTACAATGTCCACAGTTGACATCGAAATATAATGAAATTGTGGTACCAATTTTTCTGTAAGTGAAAGCACTGTGTGCCTGAAAGTAGAATTCTAGGTGCTTGTAAGATTTTATAGATTACCTGTCTGAAATGTGATCTGAATCACAGAATAGAATTTGATCAGAATCACCGAATCATCAGAATTAGGAACTCAATACAAAGCCTTTTTAAATGCTTTTCCCAACATAGATCTGGTGAAATGTATCAGCTAGTGAAATGCTAAACTTGTAAGGGAGGTTTTTTTGTCCATAATTGTGTATTTCTGGGCAGTTTCATATTTATTTGGGGGAAAGGTTTGTACAGTTTCATAACTGAGATGAGTTTTTTAGAATTAAAAGAGCAGCAGCAAAAGAATGGAGTACAGAATAAAAATCTTAGCCAAGGGGTAGAATGCCGCTGACTCTGTTATGCAATCTATCAAGATTTTCATGTACTAACTTTTCTTTTTCATTAGGTAGACATAACAAGTTAATTGAATTTAGCAGCGGTCTTATACTGCTAAATCTAGGTCTATTTTTTTGTTACATTGCTTCCAGATTTTTCTTTTATACTTCTCTCTCCCTTTGACCTGGGTTTTGTGAATGAATGTTTTCTGGAAGATTGGGGGAAAATTTTGAGAGAAATGGTCACACGGCAAACAGGAGCTCTTATTTTTTAGAAAAGAAATGATATTAATTGGCATTAGTTTTTCAGTTATTGAATTATTTTGGAGTGGTTTTGTCTAAAGACTGTAATATGTGCAAATGCCAAATATTGTGAGTCATATCTGAGAATTCCTTACTAGTATCTCTCTAGGTATTTCCTAGAATAATCAACAGCTTTAGGGCTGAAACTGCTTTAGAAATCACCCAATACAAATCCCTCATTTACAAATTGATGTCTGTAGTATGAGGCCCAGTAAAATTTGTATAAATGTATATATTTAATAAAGAGTATTTGTACAAAAAGCTTATCAAACATTATGTCATGAATGTGAATAGATTTCTAGCCTTGAGAACAATGCTTGAAACTGTTGTTGAAAGTTATAATTGTTCTTTATTCTAATGAAATCAACTTATTTCTTTGATGAGGAACATACTCCTTACTTATTTATTGGCCTATTTTTAAGAAGTATTTCATTGTCTTCATTTTTTAAAAATAAATTCTTCTATAAATTTCACAGCTGTTGAAGGGACAAAAATAAATGATTTTGGATTTGTAGACCAGAGATGCAAATGAACTCAGTATTTTTCTTACTTTTGTATATGAAGAAGATTTTAAATAAATCAAGTGACCAAATAAAGAGAAAGGGCAAAATTAACCAAGGATTCTTTATTTTTTTAAAAAAGATTTTATTTATTTTTTTAGAGAGGGGAAGGGAGGGAGAAAAAGGGAGAAACAGGAATGTGTAGTTGCCTCTCATGCCCCCTACAGGGGGCTTGACCTGCTACCCAGGCATGTGCCCTGCACTGGGAATTGAACCAATGACCCTTTGGTTCACAGGCCAGCACTTAATCCACTGAGCCACACCAGCCAGGGCCAACCCAGCAGTCTTAATTGTTAATTTGAAGAATAAATTGACCAGAAAGTCTAATCATTAGTAGAACAAGGAACTATTTTTATTTGCATACAATATTAATAATGATGATGATGATGCTTAGTTTGTTTTTCCCCAGATGAATTCCATCAAATTCATTTAAAGCTATATTTTTTATTTTGGTTATCATTTCTATCTTTCTAAAAACTCAGAGCTGCATTGAATGTAACACTTGTGAGGGACTTGCTACTTTTCACCATTAGAAAATCTCATTGCAAGTATGAGCGCCCAAAGTCCTGACAATTTGTGAAGAAGGATTCTGTCTGAGAATACTACTTTTGCATGTCTCTATTTTTTAAATATATAATTCAGAATTGTCTTATTCAATACCAAGATCTATATCCTAGCTTTCTATTCCAAGTTGGACAGTAAAAGCTACATCAGCACTTCTAATTTTCTCGAGGCATGACTAGGTATAATAATATATTTAAATGATTAATCTACAGTTAAAAATAACTTGCATTTGTGCATATACAGAGCATTTGAATAATGTGTATTTTAAAGTAGACCTCACCCATCTTGAATTAAGAGTAGGCAGAGAGGAGAGTCATCCTCTTTTACAGAAGGAAATGAATCACAGAAAATTTAGTGACAAAGGTAAAAGCCCTGGGCTGGAAAGAATTTAAAGGGTCATTTTTCCATAGCCCCCCACTTTGTTTCAAACTGTACATTAACAAAATTGTGGTTTATTTTATCTGTGAATTGGTCATTCTGTCTGACCTAGAAAAGAATCCCTACTTCCCACTCCCCTGTCTCCAGTGCCCCGTCTCCTAGATTGTGAATACCCTCCAGTGAAAAAGCAGCAGATGGAGAGAGGAATGGGTGGCCTGACTTTGCGCTCTGACTCGTATGTACTCTGTTGTGGTTTTAGACGAGTCACTTAGACTCTCGAGGCTTTGTTTCTTATTTATAACAGGAAAGTGAGATTAAAAAGTATCTAAGATTTATTTCCATTTTAATATTCTCTGGTCCTCATGCAGCCTAAATACAAGCATATTCTTGGAACAGATACACTTGATACTTCATGCCACCAACAGATAGATATTTATGGGCCTAAAACTGATTTTAGCGTCATTGCTTAATTACTTTTAGCTCATGACTTGCCTCAAATTAAGGTTTTCTTAAAAGAAAACGTTTCTCAACTTAGATTAGATATTTTCTTCCCTGTAGAAGATTTTGTTCCCTAAAGGATGAAGAATTTTGATTTTTTTTTTGGTTTTTATTCATATTTACTAAATGGCTTCCTGCTTAATGTTGGGCACCGTGCTGATTTTTTGATGTACATAGGCAAACAAAACCCTTTTCTTTCCTTATAGGTTGTCACGGTCTGGTAGTGATGATAGATGTGTAGACAAATAACCATAGAGTGTGATAAGTGCTACAGTCATGTAGAGTAGAGCTGAGACCACGGTGATATGAATGAGCACCCACCTTGGGCACAAAAATGTATGAGACACCAAAAACCTCAATAAGCGTGATAAATAATATTTTGAAAGAATATTTAAAAAAATCAAAATACACAAAGAGATCCATGATAAACCAAATACTCAAATTTTAAATAAGGATGGGATCAGTATTAATAATATTTTCTTTCACATCAGGCTCTAGTATTACTCGGTATGGCATTGATATAGAGAGTAGAAAAAATGTGTGTAATTTTATAACTTCATTGACGGAGAGGAAAAAAGAGTGATGACAGGAAGACTTCACAGAGATATTACTAGACTGAATTTTGTAGAAGAATTGGGAATTCTAGCCCCTCTGCCTACTCCCACAAACAACAAAACACATTTTAAGCACCACCTGAAGCATGAAAAGACATGTAGATTTGGAACTTCAAAGGGGGAACTCTTACTACAAATAGTTCAGGGTACCAGGGGAGAAGCAAGAAAGTGAGTACAAGGAAGTCAAAGTTGTTGATGTTGGAAGGACCTGCTGGGCCTAGGTTAGAGAGAGTTTGGTGTAAATTACTAAAAAGATTGGATTTGGTTCCTGTTTAGTGGCCATTGATAGAAAATCTTGACAGATAATAAAAATGAACATGCTATCGATACTGAACCCAGGTTTGGCTGCTTGTCCCAACAAAAGCCAAACTTGTGAGGCGAGGGTTGTGCAAAGTGATTTATTTGAGTGCTGGCATCTTGAGAAGAGGTTGGGGAGGACTCTGGTCCTCAAAAAGACAACTTAACATCTCTGGCAAGCCAATGATTCTTATAGGGAGTTGGTGGGGATTTGGGAGGGGGAAACGTCCCAGAAGGAGTGCAGACATGCAGTTTCTGTTGAGAGAGGGAAGTGGGAGTAAGGGGAGGGCACTGAAAGCAGGGGAGTTGTGCAGCTCTTGCTTGGGTTTGCTCCTTTTGTTCTGTTATCTCTCAATTAGCTTCAGTCGGACATCTGTGGCCT